CCTAATCAAATTTTGGGGCAAATCTTTGTGATAGAGATTTTCCGGTTTTGAACACCTCGTATTGTATAAAACCTTTCACTTCCAGCCCGCATCTTCACCGACAGCCGCTGATAAACCAATTCCAGACAACGACAGTGTGCGATCAAAGAACCGAACCGTTTCCAAACGCACGCTCCACAACGATTTGGATGAACTCGGTGTGGACGGCGGGGACGAGGATGCGAATGAGGATGGCTGTGTAGTGACTAATAGAAAACCAACACCACCACCACCATCACCATCACCATCACCACCACCACCACCACCAACAACAACGCAACAACTGCAACAACACAGACCAAATTTACCACCACCGGTTGTCATTCATCGAAGACGTTTTGGCTTACCCGAATCCAATGAGGTGAGTCAAAGCAAAATACAAACATTCTTAGAATACAATTGTACGAAGGAAATTTGACGTTGATTGATGAGTGGCAACTACTGAGAAATCGTACTACGTATTACGCCAGGGAACTTTCATTTATATAGTGCATTTTCATCGTGTATAGAACTGAAAAGCTAGGAAGTCCTGGGTCAGTTGTTTCTACTTGGTTGAATCATAATTACCCCGGAGGCTGGTGGTGAAATGAGTGAGCAGTTATGCGCAAATAAAGCCCTGAAAGATGAGTATTACGCAGGCGCTCTAACTCTGAGGTCCGGGTTCGATCCCCAAATTTTACCTGGTCATTTTGACACTCAGCAAATCAAAAATGAACTGACAATTTTCCACATAGTTCATTTTGATCAGGTTACTGTGCCTTTTGTACCTCGGGAATTATGTTTTTGCATAGACTTGTGATAAGTCTCGAAGCTTCTCAAAAATCAGTTCATAATCCCAGCGAGGAAAAGGAAAACGGAATTTCTTTCTTTAGAGTGTTCTGGTGTGATAGATGACGAAAAGTCCCGGGTACATTGTAAAGCTTTTTCATAGATGATGAATAAATCTGGACAGTCGTTTCATCTTCGCAACGGAAAAATTCGGCTTGCGAGTTAACATCGTCATCCCCGTATGGTCCCGTCGACAGCTGCTTCTACGCATAATCTTAGGTTGGTTGGGTTAGTTCGATTTTCACAGGCTGTTAGCAGAAACAAATAGATAATAGGCACTGATGTCTAAACTCTCCCCTCTCAAAAGAGTCCCCTCGATCTGTCTCGCCCAATTCTTGGTTTTCGCATTGTTAGAGGAGCATTTCTTACACTCTGCATGTCTGTAATATCAGACTCTGAATGGGTGACCAAGGTAGTAGGCAGATCGGGGCCAGTGGTCAAATCTTCACAGTGCTCATCCGATGGATTCACATCCTTTTTCCGAGAACCTCTAAACGAGATTTGGTCTGTATGGCGCCGATGGAGTGTCGCATCTTCCGATTGGTTATCTCTGCCATGTTCTTACAAATTTACCGTGTGACCGAGAACGAAAGACACCAAGAACACCACGGCTGTCGGTTCACTGTCATGTCTTTAAACCCTTCAACCAACCAGTCTTTTCAAACCGAAACTGGAAAACGAAAGACATCTACTCTAACTTATCGCTCTTTGTAATTCTTCATGTCTGATTTGCATGTGGTATGTCTGTCTCTATGTGATTTTCTTTACGGTGGAACGATAAAGTGCAACCAAGTTACTCACCTGCGCTTTTGAAGTGCCTTTTCGACTAAACCAATTTCAAATGTTCTTTGGCAGGTTTGAAGTTTGTATGTCGTGATTGTGATAGGTTCCGTAGACTCGGTAGGTTTAGAACCCATGCATGGACGCCGCCTACGCTTTGTACACGCACGCTCTACCACCTTCACTCGGTTTGTGCCACAAATGGTGTAATTGACCTACCTTTCATGAAAAACCTCACTCATTTTCAATAGGAACCAGTGAGCACTAGCTCATTATGGTGACCAAAAAACGACCCGCGGAAATCAGCTTGTACACAGTACCACCGAAAATAGCCCTTCGACCATGCAATCCAATTCTTCCTTCGGTTTGACCGATGTCCTCGTCCAGGTAGGGGAGCTAACACATGTGCCACGCCAGTGACGTCATTTTATCCCCCCCTACCAGTGTCACTTACGCAGGTCGTTTAGCCCCGCTTTGCGTAACTCAGGCAGATTTTTTTGAACAATAATTGAGCAATAGTATACTATCGGGCTGCACACTAATTTCTTCTCGGTGAGCAGAGGACATAAAGAGATTTTTCTAGCATCGGAGGGGACCCTTTGTTAGTGTCTGTATCCCCTCCCTGTAATGCCGTCCGGCGAATTTGCGCAAATCCTCTCGCGAAACAATAGTTTCTGCCGGTTGGCATTTCTCGCACGCCGAGAACTTGATATACCTGGACAACAAGTTGACCTGAGGGCGAGTTTAACCTAGAGAATACACGATCTCAGAATCGTAAGCATCCAACGTGATACTCTACTTCTGAATCCTAGCTGCTATCAGTTTAATGACAAATTTTTAAACTGAAAAGTGACCAGCCACAATTGCGAAGTGCAGTGCAAACAGATACTTCTGTAGGTTCCGGACTGCCCGTCCAACAATTAATGCTTCCCTTGGCACAATCTACAATAAAATCTATGCTTTCTATCTGATAGGGGTATCAAATCCTTGTACTCAATCCGAACCCACTACGCATTGATAGCAATGGATTTATCTCTCCGCACCGACTCAAGAACCTAACTAGGATATAACTGCCCTTGTGCTATTTTTGTACTCTTCGTTGCTCATGAGGATAATGATGATGACAAAAGTTGGAAAATAGACTCTAAGGAGGAGGGTAGTCAAATTACTGTTTCGGAAAACGATATGTTGTAAATCTCAAATGAACTACCACTGAACTGTCGAGTTAAGACGTTTACGAGCACGGTGAGCATGCGATACGGCATTTTCCTCGTAGTTAAAAATTGATTGGGTTTTCACCAGAGCGGAAGCAGGCTTTTTGGTCCGTCTGATCACTCAATTAACTGTGAGTATTGTGTTTGAATGGCAAACGAGTTGAACGGATAACAGTTTTTCGGCTAGCGAGGATGCGCATTTTTCTGGAGTCACTTGTGAGTAGAGTATGAAATAAACCTGACCTACTCAACCGTAGATTCGAGAAGTGCTAGACCGGATTTTTACTTTCATTAGAGCTCGTCAGTGATGCGTATACACCGTTCACCGACCGAGATCTGAACTCCGAACCAATTAATTGTATGAAAGGCGCATGCGTGACCACAGTGTCTTCCAGCTCATCATGGGGATGAATAACCAGAATAGCTAATTCACGTTAATTCGTATGTGGTCTTCGGACGTAACCTGTAATTTCGTTTGGCTTGACAGCAACGAAAAAAGATACATTATACTATCGGTTAACTCCATTCAAACGCCTCCCACCAAGTTAGGTCTGGTCTGAAAGTTTAGGTGAACAATCCCAATTGTGAACACCTGCTAAGCCATAGTTTTAATTCACATCTCAATCAAAGTTGCTTGTGAGCTGACTGTCTAGTAGATGAACCGAGGATTATGCGTGACCATGGGGTCATTTCAGATCAATGAACACTCTTGAACCCCGAAAGTTGCTCAAATCTCTTTCAAACTCGTTAGGTGAATGCGCCTGCTGCTACTATGCATCCCCTTCCTCAATTTCTAGTGCACAAACTTTGCCAACAAGATGCATCGGAAACGTTGATTTTCTGTGACACATTCCGAATTAGGCCACTCGGAAACTGTCAGATGCAGAGTGCAAACTAAGCCGATTCGTACTGCACAATCATTATTTTACTAGGGATATAAATTTGACATGCATTTTGGGAGAAAGCGGGGATGTTTTCAAAGATGGTTGTCATGAAATGGGTAAGCAGCTGGTCGCATTGATGCTCTAAAAGAATCCATGTATATGTACAGAAATCACCGTAATACAAGAATTATTAAAGAACTTTCAAATTCCGCGCTTTCGTGATATCAGTCAGAAAGTATAGTCTTCACACTTTGTAATTATTTGCATTTACCACTCTGAATAGAGCCCAGTTTTTTCTAGTACCATTCGAAGACACAAAGGGTTGAGGTAGACTCCATGGTTGGGGTCACCGAAGGACGTGTCAGAGGGTATCTTACTTGTTCACCTTCTCTCAGCTCTCCTGAAGTTGATATGAGTGACCTTATTGTTGTCGTGTCCGGTGGTGACAGTTCCGTTGAGGTATTGTGGCTTCATCTCGATAGGACAGAGTTAGTTCGTTACGTTAGTATTAGTTACGTCAACCATATTTGTGATGCATTAGCACACTCGTGACCTGAAGTTCAATACGTCACAAGAAAGCGTGACACATGCTCGTAGTATACACGTCGGCTATCCGAATGATTGATGTTGATATGCACGGCCTCAACAGTAGGGAAAGTTTCATTTCACATTCTCTGCGACAGGGATTGTTTTCATGAACCGACAGCAACCGTGTTACGTTATTCATAGCTTTTAAAGAGTCAACAATTTTTGACCTTCTTACCAACTTGTATTATTAATCTGTTGTGCTGAAAAAGGAATAGGTTGGTGCATTTGGTCGAGTGATGCCAGATACGAAATACAGGTCTAAAACACTGACGCAATACAGTTTAATTAGTGTTCTTCCAATAGCATATCGTTTCTTCGAATAAAAAAGTTGGACAATATGAAACTGGGGATGTTTATACCAACATTTACAAAGTTTTGAGCTCCTGCTTCTACCTCTGTGATTATGCGTATTAAAACCGTGACAGACTACCGCTGCACAATACATTTTCGTTCTAACCTCAATTCATGGCACAATCCAACGATATTTCTGTCTCTAATGACCCAAATATCGTAATGTATTTCACGTACCGGTTGTGTTGCACACATGTGCTTCTCGTGATAGATCTGGCAGATCAAAACTCCAGTGTCGCGTGACATCAAGCAACTCTGAACTAGATGGAAACCATCAGTCGGTGTTTTTATGGTTATTTATTCCTTCTTTCTATTGGTTTGGATACTAACAAAGTAGCAACAATTTAGCCCCAAATTGCAAAAGCATGCGAGAGATCTTTCAAGATTAACCAATAAACGCTAAATCCAGAAAATATGTTTGTAAGGGAGTGGGGTAGGGGAGAGAAGGCCGGGGATGTGAAGCATGGTTCCGAGAATCGACCCATGTCGATGAGAAAAATTGAATTAACAGAATTTCAATTTTCGTTCTCTATTCACCCTTATTGCTATCCGAATAAAAATGAAACAAAAGTGGAGTCCAACACTGTTTTCAATCACTGCTGATTTGCATTCGTAACAAACTTGATCATAGCAAGTAAAGCGCACAGATCACACAAGCTGATCCATCAGTTTTCCTAATTCATTGATCTTGCAATGCGAGAAATCATTACTCACCTACTTATCCATCACACTCAAAGGAAGTAGCCGAATCCTTTTTGCGGTCTTACACATATCACCCGTTGCACAGTATATTCCTTTAAGCTAATGCAACTTTTAACAGCATAAGTATCGTTATTTTCCGTTATTTTCCACTGGACAAGCTCGCCTACCAGTTGAACGTCTACACAAAACTCTGAGCATCGATGATTCACAAAAAGGGGAGGCAGAGGAATTCTGAGTCTGAACGTTTGTAGGTACTAAACTGTTCCTATGCTATATGAACGTGTTCTGCTTTTGAATTGTCACAAACAAACCGATAGCGAGGCTACTTTAGATCATCATCATCATCATACAGCGAGATACAGTGAAGCGAACTTCACTGATCGCTGCCTAGCTCACAATGTACACAAATCAAATGATAAAGCACAAGGTGGAGAGGGATTGGGCGGGACGGAGGACGGACGCAAAGAAAGTAAACCTCTATGGTCAACACACAGAGTACACAATCTAAATGTGCATAAATACTTTTTCAAGCATTCCGACCTGATAAGAAATAGCACCAAGAACGCCACTGTTGCCGGTTCGCTGTCATGTCTTTCAGTGTCTCGAATTAGCCAACCTAATTTGGATCACAACTTAAGTAATGCATACCAATTCGGAATTAGTCATGTTTTTGCGTAAAAATTTCGCTTTGATATCCACAATGTCCTTTATTTTGATCCACTCTGGACGTCCGTAGTGGATGGCTATTTTGTCCTCTGAGTAGGGTATCCATGGAATTTCTGAACCTGTCCTTCACGCTTTCTCTTTCGTTCACCGAATTGTACCAGGCCGCGTGGTCTGTCATTGGACAATATAGCCTTTGCAAATCTCGGTATTTGCACCATCCAACTGGTGGGCACCAATGCCTATACGACTAAAGCTACGATTCGAGTTCTAAACAAACGTTGGGATGTAAATCTAATAACGGCTTATCTCATTATTTCGAATTGGATCAGATTCTCTCGAAAAGACTAATATTTTAACATTATCTGCCCCCTAGCTTCTATCACTCCAGTACCCCAAAATGGAATATCTAAAGTTAGTCCGGATTACTTGCAAGTCTGTTGGTTAGAAAGCCATGGAAGAGACTTTATTACAGAAGATGTTGTCCCACCTGAATGCGGATCTGATGTCACTCAATTTGGTTATCGCAGCTCCAGGTCAACCCCGAATGCGCTGGCATTCCTACTTCATTAGATTTGTTCTTCCTTGAGCAACAAATATAATGCTGTTCGGCTGTATTTTTTTGGTTATAGTGACGCCTTCGACTGTATTGATCGGACAAAACTTCATACTCTCTCTGAGTACGGTATTCAGTTGCAGCTCATCAATTTAGTACATAATAAAATCAACCATCGCCTATAGTATACTAAATATAAGGATCACAACTCCTCAATTTTACCCTCCACTCAAGGAGTTCTTCAAGAAGCTATTCTCTATCTTCCTATTCACAACCGATATTTCTTCCATATCTGCTTTTGATGATTGTTTGCTCATTAAGTATGCCGATGAAGTTTATGTATGCCATCAAGTTTTCGAATTCCTCCATATATCCCAAACTTATGCATAATATTTTACTGCTCACTGACTGGTCTTCACGTTTCAAACTTGGAATGATTCCTTCCCAGTGTAACGATGTCCTATT